AAGTTCCATAGTTAGTATACATTTTTTTCTTAGTCTGCAATACACACCCTGACAAAGCCAAGTTTGCTGTCAGTCATGGTCATTCCAAACAACATGGCAGTGACCTATAGAAACACATTTCTATTCAAAGAGGCCTTGTCCCTCTTGCTCACTTCTCTCCTCAGTAGGAATAATTTCTCCAATCTTGTCTTGAGACTGACATCTTCCCCCTCTCTTGATCTAAGCCTAAGATTACCTTCTACAAGCACATTTTTGGAATCAGCATTTCAAAAGTAGCCTTCCATTCGCCCACTGGCCAGCAACACTTCATTGTGCTGTCCTGCTGTGTTCCATGTATTGTTTACTGTATTTATATAGTTTCACTTCTGTGTTTTTACTTCATTGTCAGCTGTATATTTGCTCTAAGACTATAAAGAACTTGGAACCCTCATCAAGATTTTTCCACAAGCACCCACAGCACTGTCTGGCTCATACTAGCTGTGTACAGTAATACCAGAGTCAGCCAATAATGTTTTGTAAAGCTGTTAAGGCTCATAAATTTAGGGAAGATGATTTCAGCCTGGCTTAATCCTACCCTATATGTAACCTTAAGGAATTTTAACCTTTGGGTCAATGAGACAGTTCAGTGAGTGATAGTGCTTGCCAATAACCCTGACAACATGAGTTTGATCCCCAGAACCCACTGATGGAAGAAGATAGCTGACTCCTATGGTTGTCCTCTGGCCTCCGCAGACAAACTATAGCATATATGCTGTCATGCACACATTCATGCATGCACACACATATACATACTCATAAATGAATAAACGTAGTTTAATTTTTTAAAGTCTTAGCCTATGTTTGTTCATTTCCTAAATCATAGATGGAAGTTTTAGCATCCAGTATTTCAGAATGTGGTAGCATTTTAAGGCAGAGCTTTTAACGGTAGAATTAATTTAAAATGAGATCATTAGATGGAGTCTAATCTAATACAGTTAGTTATGTTAGTCAGCTTTTTGCTACTGCAACAAAAGACCCAGGGTAATGAATATAAAACGAAGGTTTACTTCAGAACTTGTAGATCACAGTGAGGAGGCTTTGCTACTTCAGGACCTGTGGTAACATTCTGGCAGAGTGTACAAGACAGAGCAATCTATTCAAGATGACATGTCAGGATTAATTCATTACTTTCCAAGGCATACCCTTGGTGACCTAACTCCTGTCACCAAATCGCATAAAGAGTCTACTCTCTCTCAGTACTAATAGCCTGGACACCAAGCCTTTACAACATGGACCTTTGTGGGGAGGGCATTTTAGATCACACAGGTGTTTAACAAGGAAAATGGAGAACTGGCCACAGAAACACACAGAGAGAAAACCATGTTTAAACATAGGATGAAGACACTTGAGAGTTAAAGACTTTATCAGAATATATGCAAGCAAAGCCTGGGTTGGACTTAAAGCCTTGAATATTGTGAAAAATTAGACCTATGAGTTTTAAAACATTTTAAATCTATTATTATTATTATTATTATTATTATTATTATTTGTGGAGGGGCACACACTCATGTGTGCTTGTGTATGTGTGCATGTATGCACTATGGTGCCTGTGTGGATGGAGGTCAGAGGACAACTCTCAAGAGTGGGTTTTCCTCTTCTACCTTTACATGAGTTCGTGGGCTCAGGTTTCCAGGCTAGCATGACAAGCACTTTTTCTTGATGAGTCTCCTCTGTGGCCCAAATCTGGGTTTTTGAGCCACCCAGTTCATGATACTCTTTCAGAATACCAGTAAACGGATGCATCTCTCCAAGCTATATTTCTTCCTTTCTAAAGTAATGGCAATGAAAGTAACTATTACAAGATGAGGGCTGAATGAGACCGTATGGTAAAGATGTTTGGTAGACCGTATCAGCATATGGACCACTTTAAGATATCAACCAATTGTGACTTTCTTCCTAGTACCTAACCCTTTCACATTTTAAAGTTTGGAATATCATAATCATGGCAAGTTTCAAATAGAAAGCAATTTGGAATTATCCATACCCACACAAAATTTCAAAGTAACAGGCCTACTTTAACATTCAATAATGTTGTATGATTTAGTGGTTACAGGTGCATTTGTAAACATCGAATACACACTGATCTCTATTTCTTCATAGGCAAGTCTCTTCAACCTCTATAATACATTAAACCTCATCTAATGAAAAGGGAATTTTACGCTATAATAAAACAAAAGTAACACCATATCACCTCATCCACAGCATGTATTTAACTGTGAACCAAGCCACTCATCTCTGTGAAGAACACATTACTAGTTCCTTTCCGAATTAAGCTTTGGTTTGTCTCAAGTTCTTCCTCTCAAACACGAATCCTATTCCCTAGATGTTTTACGATAATGCTGTACAAACAATAGCAAAGAAGTGGGGCAATCTCAGCCCCCCTCTTCCTGGAAGAGCTTCCTGCCTCTCAAAGGTGTGTTCTGTCTGATGCCACCTCCAGAATTTACATCTTGCACTTCCTGTTGATAGTGTCTGCAGGGCAAACACACACACACACACACACACACACACACACACACACACACACAGGTCATCGGAAGGAAACTTGGGGTTTAGGAAGGCTCCTTAATTTATGGAACACATGTGCAGTTATTATTAACTTTTATCTTTACCATCTTCATACGAGGATATTCCCATAGGGCAGTTTCTATCTGAGAGTATAAACACCTAGGTATCTACTGTACCTTCCAGACGCGCCTCTAGATTTAACAGTTCTGTTTACAGCTTCCCATCTATCTATCTCCAAAGACAATCTGTTATCTCCCAAGTCTGACTCAATTGGAATCATCTGCAAGGGAAGAAGATGATTAGATGCAAGCATGCATCATGAAATGCATCCCAAAATAGCTTCTTCTTAAAGATGAGGAAAACCTAGCTGGAAGACAGGAAACACATTTTTTGTTCTTGTTGTTTTGAAATTTTCTCAAAAATTGACAATATAAACTTGCTTTGTTTTGATTTTTTTGAGACAGGGTTTCTCGGTGTAGCCTTGGCTGACCTAGAATTTGCTCTGTAGACCATGATGGCCTTGAACTCACAGAGAACCACCTTCCTATGCCTCCTGAGTACTGGGACTAAAGTCCTGTGTCACCACCTCCCGGCTGACAGTATAAATTTTTATATAGTGCACATAGCCAAGTTGCTGTTTCCTTTCAGCATGAGCCAAACTTAGAGTCAATACACTGGAGGAATGCATGAAGCATAATTTTATACCTCTATAACATTCCCTTATCTCATAGGGAGGCTTTTGGACTTCCTGGAAAGGCTTAAACATAAATGGGGAAGTAGCTGTCATTTCTAAAGAGCAGGTATGAAATCTATTTTCACTTCCTTCTTTTGTATTGTTTGATATGCTAATATCAGATTATAAAAATTATGTTCTTTCATTTCCTTTGTATTTGTTTATTACACTAATTACTGTCATTATAGTCTTTGTATAATAATATATTAATATTAAACATGTACTCTTTTCCTGAAATAGTTCAGAGTTGTTTACCACCTAATAAACTAATTAGACTTGCCTCTCTGCCACATGTTCTCAATTGTCACTACTCAAGCCCACAACTTTCTAACTACATGTCCCCACCCCACAAGCCTGTGATGAGCTTAAAATTGCAGAGTGCTGGCAGTATGCTCGCCACACTCATTTCTAGCCACAGTGTGAGAGAACCCAAGAGCTACGCAGAATAAGTTCAGTTCTGAATCCCGAGTCTGGCTAAGAGCCTCAATTGTTGAGAGGCAATTTTCTTCTTTTCTGGGCTAGTCTTAAATTAATGAGACACACAAGACCTTAAAGGGGAAACAATTATTTAAATCTTAGGAGAAAGTATCATTAAATTAGGAAGTTCACCTTATTCAGCCTTTGCCTTTGAGAACCACTTGTGTTGGATGCAGGTTCTACTTTTTAGAATGTTGAGACCTGCTTGAATTCTGTCCTGTCTCTATTTGGGTTTTGTCCCTCAGAGCACTTACCTGATCATCTCTAGCCTTGCTTTGCTTCAGATTTAACCACATTGCCCTTTTCTGCATGGTCGCACACAGGGAAATCTTAGACCTGACAGAACTTTCGGGGAAGATAAGTGACATCATCACCCTTTTCTCCAACATCCTTATTTTTTTGATAGCAAATGGGCCTCTTCCTCAGAGCTGTATTGGATAAGCAGTTGCAATTCAACTGCTTCTCTATTGTACTTACTCCTCCCTCCATAACAATCCAGTTGTGCATACTCTGAGTTTATTTTTTCCTTTAATAAAAAAGTGCTTATAGGTTAGCATACAAAGAAATGGGCTTTATTGTCATATTTTCACATATATGTGAAGAATACTCTTTGTTCTTATTCTGAGTAAGGACTTGGGCAATCTGACCCACAGATAAGAGAAACACACACACACACATACAAGCACGCACGCACACACACACACACACACACACACACACACACACACACGTGCACACACACACACACGTATTAAGGGAAGAAAGCATGGGCTTAAAGAGGCCCCTTAAGAAAGTACACATTGTTATTGTTAACTTTTATCTTTATCATCATGTGAGAATATTCCCATAGGGCAGTTTCTCTCTGACATCTACTGTAGATCCCTGTTCCATCCTACCATCACATATAAAAGGCCCCAGAAAGGATGCAGTCTCCCAGGTTCTAAGCAACACTGACTGCACTTCCTCCCTTAGCCTATCCCTTGTACTCTGCCCAACCCTAACAGCTCTGGGGGATTACAATGGGGAATATTTTGGGGGAGTTCCTTAAGAGTACAGATTCATCAGAGAACTATTGATTATAATCTTTAGGTCTAGAAAAGAAAGCAAACACAGACTTACAAGATTCCAGTGGTGCCCCTGCCAACACACCGTTGCTTTCTGGTTCATTCAGACCTCTGCACAAACGCCTTGCTCCCAAATTCCCCACCCTAACTATTGTAACATTATTTATCACATTACTCACATGAAATTCTTGAACAGCACCTGCATCATTTGTTTTCTATTTATCCCACTTGTGCATGGGTCATTCTGTTGATTTGCTAGGTTATCCACTGATCTGTCCACTGCGATGTAAGCTCTGCAACAACAGGATGTTACCCCTATCCCCAGAGCCTGGAACAGTGCCTGGAATACAGTGACTGAGCCTCAGAAATATTTGTGAATGAGAATTTCTCAGAGATTGGCCAATATTACTTCAAAAGAGAAAACTAGTAGCCTACAGCCCTCGTTTTTTAAGAAAAGCTGGGGAATCAAAAATTATTTTTGAATTTTTAAAGCTATAATTTAATTTTATTCAGCTTCCCTGTGACATCTATGTGAACCTGATCATACCATATTTTTTTCTGTAGCATCCAAGTCTGCATTCCAATGTTGCCTGTGTCCATAATATTCTGTATAATATATTTTCCATTCTGAGCTCCCCAAACACTGCATAACCTCCCACTTTGCAGCAATAGTCAAAGTGTCTGAGAGGTATGTCAGCAATCAACAGGCATGACAATAGGAGCAGGAAACTGGGGGATTGATTCCCTAACTGCAGCCCTGAAACAGGGTGATCTGGGGGTGGGGTTAGGCTGTGAACTCTCGAAGTCCTTCTCCAGTGATGTAGTTCCTCCAGCAAGGCCACTCTATGTCCCAAACAGCAATAACAGTTGGGGACCACATTTTCAAATCCCTGAGTCTATTGAAGACTTTTCTCACCCAAATCATTCCAGCTGCATCCAGTTCTACCTAGTTAGAAATCTCCTTAACTACTCAGAGAAAGAAGCATTAATTTCTTAACTAATAAGGGCATTCCTTTATCTCTTTGAAACTTAGTTTTCTCATTCTTAAATAAAAGAAAAAATACTTGAATAGAATCAACTGTCTTTAGGAAAATGCATTTATCTAGCTAAATACTGTGTGGATTTGTTTCTATGAATTTCACAGATAACCTGTAGTTCATTTAAATAACCTGTTCTGGTAAATAAAACATCTACCTACTTTTTATTGTTACAATGAGGTAAATATTCTATTTCAAAAAGTTTTCCTGAAATAGGTGGTTAGGTGAAATATTCTTTAACCAGGATCTCTGATTCCCCATAATAATAATAATTCTTACTTACTATTTTGTGAACATGGCACCATTTTTTTCCTATCAGAATTATCTTGTTTGCCTGTTAAAAACCAAGGAATCAGTTTCCAGAATTCAGGCCCAGCAGATGTAGGAAAAGTCTAGTAATGCACATTTTAAAAACCATAACCCCATCTTTTTCTCCTGTAAAATTAAATATATATATATATATATATATTTCTAGACTATCATCATTGCTGCAGAGTATCTGTTTACTTTTTGTTTTTTGCTTTTTGTTTTTCAAGACAAGGTTTCTATGTGTAGCTTTGGAGCCTATCCTTGCACTCACTCTGTAGACCAAGCTGGCCTTGAACTCACAGAGATCTGCCTGCCTCTGCCTCCCAAGTGCTGGGATTAAAGGCATGTGCCACCTATGCCCGGCCCTTTTAAAGGCACTGTGTGTTCTACTCATTTGAAGTCAGAATAAACCTACCCTTTGTGTGTCACCATTTTGCACAACTCATGTGAAAGATTTCTTTCAATGTCCAAGTAGTATACATCATAGTTATATGTGTGACAGAGAAATTATCTGAATCCAGAGTTCTCAAGAGGGCAAATGGCCAAAATGTGTGTCTTCATTTTTGTGCACCAGGTTCTATGTATTTTATTTGTTGAGTCTTTTGGGAATATCTGAGGCATAATCAGAATTGAATGTGATCAGAGAAAAAGCAATGAGGAAAAATGAATATTTACAAAAGCCAGGCAAAGGATTGAAAATGTAGCCAGTAGCAGTTTGTTACAGGGCAAACAGCTACAGATAGTTGATTTGTTTCCATTAGCCATTCTTCTTAATGGCAAAATAAAATATCAATGTGCATGAAACTACTAACTTATTAGAAAGTTGAACACATGCATACAGTATTTTCTCAGGAAATCAACTGCACAATATACTTTAGAGAATTTTTGTTTGTTTCTCAAGAAGAAATACCCCATTCTTACATTTTCTGTTGTTGAAATGTGGAAAGTTATAGCAGTCCCTGGCCACAAAGAGTTTGTAAAGGGTACAAGAGAATTAAGCAGTGTTCTTCCAAACCTCTTCAGGCTCCTACTGCAGAAGAAGGACTAAACAGCTACAGAGAGGCTTGTATGATAGCATGGCCCTGGAATCTGGAGGTGAGGCAGAAGGGTCAGGAATTCAAAACCAACCTTGAATGCATAATGAGTTTAGCATCAGTCTGGGCTGTATAGTTCGATTCTGTCTCACAACAAACTAACAAAAAGTTAGAAAACACATTTTCTCTACATAGAAAAAGAGTCCTCAGAGTCAACCCTGAAATTTTGTACTACCTGACAAGCGAGGAAGCCCTGGATCTAACCCAAGGGGAGAAGATTGAAACAAGTACCAAACAGAGGGAAACAGACCTCTTAGGCTTTCCTGTGATTGGTGTCTTAGAAGCATCATTTAAAGGCCCGACTTGTTCTAATTGCTCAGTAACCATCTGCAGTTAATGGAAAACTATGGCTAAGCTTTTGCAGGCTCAAGCAGGGTAGACTCGAGTCATTTCAGAAACTTGGGAGATTTTCTCAGAGAGAAACAACACAAACCCCGGGGATAAATATGGGGTGATTTTTGTTATTTACAAAAAGAAAAGTACACCACAGTTACTGTGGGGGACATGTCTGGTAGGGTGCTGTGCCATTGGAAATGTTTAAATAAACCCTAGCCCAGAAGTCTTCCTCTTCTTCAACAGAGATCTCTTATCTAAACAGGGTTCTGTTTATGTTGCCTCATTTCCTTTCACAAAGATAGAACAGTGGAGAGAGACACTGACATTTTTGAGAAAGTGAACAGGGTTTGAATATGCAACCCTCCCAGGTCCCCTCCCAAATTCAATGCCCAGAACCACTCCAGGAGTAATCCCCACTCAGGTAGAGATTAAAAGTTCAAGCAGGCCACATGAAAAATACATCTAAAGCACCAGGGGGAGATTACTCTGTACTTGGGTTGAATTACTTCCCTTTGGCACTCGGATTGTTTTCTTGTGAAGTTCATTTTGGCTACAGCAGGGAGCTGTGGCTATAAGCACACCCATGATAGTGAGGTACTGGATGGTTCAGAAAGAAGCACAAAGTTACTAGTGAGATTTTGATTTCAAGTATAGGCCCACTGCCTGCCTTGATGCCACCGTTTTCTTGTTTCTCCATGTAGCACTGAGGTATGTTACTTAATGGCCTATGAAACAGAAGATCTAGAGAGAAACAAGTTGCAATAGTCTCAACAAAATTAGTAAAATTACAAAAAAGATATTAAATACGTTCTTCACAGAAACAGAAAAGAAAACCCTAAAATTCGCGGGAAACCAGATAAGATCCCACATAGTCAAAACTCTCCTGAGATTAAAGAATAGTGCTTGAGGAATTATCATTCCAGATCTCAAGATCGATTACAGTTTATAGAGCAAAAAGTACAATTCACTGAAACAAAAACAGACTTGTAGACCAATGGAATAAAATAGACCAACATATTAGCTTTGCAGCCATCTCGTATTTTACAAAGTGGCCAAAATCTACATCAGAGAAGACTTTGTTTTCAACAAATAATGTTGAGAAAACTGTATAGACACATACAGATGAATGACATTAGACTTGCGTTTATCACACTACAGAAAAATAAACTCCAACTGGATCAAAGACCTCAATGTAAAAGCTGCAACTGATAGAAGAACACACAGGAAGTTCCCTACAAGAGTGTGGTTCATCTTAAATTTTCACTCCACAGAGAGTTACATCCACCACTTTGCTATATAATGATATCATTATCTCATTCCAGGTAAGACTGTCAACATTGGATTGGATATCTGTGGTATAGTTTTATTTGCAATTAAATAAACCCACCATTTGGTAACTTGGAGTTTCTGTTCTCTCGGATTGTGAAGACAAAGCAAAAACACATCCAAGTATCAGAACACATGAGACCTGGTGGATATCAGGAACCACAGAATATATTACATTCTATTTTTTTCTTTCTGAATCCGTGAATGTCACCTTTATTTCAGGTCTAACATGTTTCACAGGAGGCTCTTTGGAGAGTTCAGACTCTAAAAACATAGAGCAGAAGAATTCCCTGACAATAACCCATCACATTCCTTTGGAAACCTGCTCACGATAATGAATTCAGAGAGGATGAGGAACTGGAAAGTTGCCCTCTGATTCATGACTCTGCTCCAGCTGTACTTAGGATAATGGATCCGGGCTGGTTCCCCCTTGGGAAAATGTGTATTTTGGGAAGGAAGATGCCTGGACAGCATAAAGAGGTTTCCTGTGCTGCCACAAGCAATTTATGACTTAATGAGTATATTTATAGGCACATTATAAGTCCTTTATCATTTCAGAAATCAATGGAGCAATTTCCAAAGGAAGTCAGTGATTTGTGGCTGTCAGTTGACCCTGATTGTTTATCATAAGGAGAAAGGAATTCCTCCCTTAGAGAAAACTGGTAACTGAGTGTCTTAACAAGAGGGAAACCCTAACACATGAAGACTGACTACAAAGTGTGGTGAAAGCAGATACTGCTGAAATCAAAAGGGTATGGTGTGGCTAGTGGGTGAACATCTGTAAAAGCTATCAGAATGCTTTGTTTCTGATCATGACCAGGACTTAATGCAGAGAGCTGCCATTCACCAAGGACTCACCTGCTAGATGCTTGCTACATACACTACACATTGTCTTCATCCTGTCAATCCTGATAGCACACAAGGAGTAACAGAGCTCTGAGAGACGTGGTACCTAATATTTAAAGACACAATGGCTTGTCCAAATGCTAAAAGGGAGCAAATAGGATAATGAGCTCAAGTCTACCTCATTCTAAAACTGTTTTTGTCCTTCCTCTCATATTGCCACCACTGGACTCAAGTTATTTGATAATGTTTGAAACATGTGTTTGATCTTACAAATTCATTTCACTCTGCATCACAATATATGCACACATATTCAATTTGCTTGTTCATCCCTTCCAACAGATACTG